TAAAATCTGATCATAGTAAAATTACTAGTATTGCTGATATAATTTTGATTTACTTAGTTGAGTTACCACCCTAGTACATACGTACGTACTGTACGTACATAGTAGAAAGCACGTACGTACAGGCCATTTATATTTGTAATTTATAATTCTCAACCAACTTATATCAACCAGAATGCGTGGAGTATAAATGAGATACGTCATTAGTGAAAGGTGCAATTGGTCATAAGATAAAAAAAATTTGTTCTTGATGGGTTTCTAATAATTATTTTTTTAATTAATGCAAAAAACAATTTGATATCTTGCTAAAAAAAATTTGGTTCATCTGTTTTTCTAATGTTAGATATGGCATCTAAATCTAATTTTAAGCACTTGTTGAGGACACAATTTCATATCTAACAAGATTTCATATACTATAACATAAAAAATATTTGATGTTGGTATTTTTACACTCTTGCAGATGAGACATGATGATAGTCGCAAAATTGAACAGTATATGTAGTTCTTAAATTATTAACAAAATTTAGAATTTATTTCAGTATTTAGTGTATTTAGTACATATAAACTATTACATATTGAATTCAATTACAGTAATTGGCAACCTTGAACGCTCGGCTCCAAACCTAATTATATTAATTTATCTCGATGTAAGATTTTTAAACAAAATTTTGCATATTAATATTATCTACGCATAATAATTCATACTGTTTGCTATAATAAGCTAAAAAAAAAAAGATTTTACTACGTATAAATTTAAAATGTAGCAATTAGATTGTATGCATAATAAACAATTACCTTCAGATTTGTCTTCAAATAAATTACCGTATTAATTTTTTTTTTTTTGAAAAATAAACTATCATTAATAAAATATAAATTATGATTTACCTTTAGTTGCGTTTTTTGGTTCGAAGAAGTTAATAATTTGTTGAAGATTGCTAGAATAGATAGTATTAAAATTATCTTCTGATGTGTGAGATATTGATAAAAATGAATTTGAATTTAGTAAATTCGTAGAATTCATAGGAGTTATTGGTTCTGGTATTCCTTTGTCAGAATTTTCGTATAATTCTTTAAGCATCTTTATCAACTTCCTAAAAACAGTTTGAGCTTCGGGTCGATTTTCTGGAATAGCATTCCAACATTGCTTCATTAATATTGCATAATCTTGTAAAGTTTCTTCAATTATTTCAGGACGAAATCCATCCGACTTTTTAGTATATGGTTTGCCACATAATACTTCAGGTAAGGTTTCCATAAATTTGATAAGAAGGTTTATTTATAGGCACAAGCCCATATCACTAATAAAAAATCTACCCATTTGTTTACTAAACAATATATTGCAAGTGTGTAAATCACAATGAATTAAATCGGATTCATGAATTCGCTCTATTCTTGATACTATATCTATAGTAATGTTGATTTTTCTAATCTAGTTAATTGTTGAGTGATTCTTCATTAAAAATTGTCTCAGATCACACGCTAAACTGTCCAAAATTAACATAAATTCTTGAGTGTTTGGATCTCTGGTTAATCCATAACAATTTACAAGACATTTAACAAACTTATTGAGATGAAAATGTGACATAGCCTATAATTTGTTAAAAAATATATAAATTTAAATTCCATAAGATTCAACAAAATAATTTAATATAGTATATACACTTCTTCTAACCATCTTTCGCTCATCTTATTAGAATGATTAAATCTTTAAGAATAACTTCTTGTTCATCAAATCTTTCAAGTACTTTTTTCTTAGAATTCCATCTAATGTACGGACCATCATTCCACCATGCAGAAAATATTGATGCAAAACCACCTTTAGTTTTGTATCTAATTTTCATAAGGAACCCATTCAATAATTGAATCAGGTGAAGTTGCATTCAATTGAGCATCTTGAATTATTTTATCTATTTCATCATTTCCTGAAGTCCAAATATCAAAGCATTCTTTTAAGTAATTTCTAATACAGAATTCACAGTATTGAATGGCGTGAATCGTGCTTTGACAATTATCACACATATATTCTTCTCCTTCCTGTTGAGAAGCATTCCATTTTTCTTCACGATCATCCAAAGCATTTATTAAATGAGTTTTCTTCATTTCGCTAATTGATTTATCATTGAGAATCCAATTTCGCACGAATTTAAAATGTTGTTGAGGTACTGTATTCTCGTAATCTATAAATGCATAAACTTTATCAAAATATTCATTAATAACAAGAGGACTGATACTACTCGTCTCCATAATTGGCAGGTTGTATTATAAGTTAGGATTTACTATGTTGCAACTAAAGAAAATAAAAAATAGATAATTCTGTAAGTAATATAACTAATTGTTTAAAATATTACAATTTTCAATCTCCAAAAAAAATGGCCAACGATCAAACAGCTTTTGTACTTATTGCACACAGTGCACCTAAACAACACACGAAGCACATACATATGCGATACATATGGCGTGTATAGTCACACATTTTACAATACTATTATGTAGCAAAAAAAAAACTTTGGGCTATTATGTGTGGCAAAGTATTAATTGTAACAAACGAAATCTTTTTCTGAAACAAATATGAACACCAATACGGTCACTATACGACTCTTCGACAACATAAGGGAATAGATTCTAATCCTATCTTAAACCGCGTTTTGCATGATTTTGTATGATTAAATTATTGTGATTGCGCTAAAGCCAGCCAATTTATCATAAATCTGAGCTTGACACAAACTCAGGTTCATGATAAATTGGCTGGCTTTAGCAATCCACAATCAATGCACAAAATCGTGACATGACGTGACCTGATTTTTTCCGGCAGCCGGAGATATTAACACTTTTTATTTTATGAATATAATCTCGGCACAATCAAACAAAAATTTGATAATCAAATACTTGTAATTAAATGTGATTATTTGATGTCCGACTTAATCACAAGTACTTGACTCAAATTTTTGTTTGATTTTGCCGAGTACCACGTATACTCTAATGATAAGTAACGGAAATTTTCCGATTGTCTGTCGGAATTTTTCTTATGGCAGTTTGCAAAAAGATGTGACCTCTGCAGATCATAATGTCATGCGATTCTAGTAGATTTTTCGATTCTTGGAAAATTTTAAAGATTTCGAATAAAATATAGACGTTATTGATTGAAAAAATTATGATCAATAGGGAAT